GTTATTTTTATTCTTCAAATCCATCGATTGGTGACTTCATGTTTTTGTGATTCCATTGTAGGGAAGTAAGCAGCCGGAGAGATGAACATCGCAACTACAAACTCAGGGCCTGGAGTAAACAACCACCACCACCAACAGAACCAAATCGTCATTCCGATTGTTCCTCCACCAGTGCCACCACCAATGCCGCCACCACCGAATCTACCTCGATCAGATCTTCTTGAAGGTAGGACAAGTATAAGTAGAACACACGCCATTTAGCGAAAATTTACAAAACGCTACTCTATCTCTCCAATGTGAGAAATTCAAATAAAGTAAAGTAAAATCTGTCAGTTTCTCGGAATTTGGTATGGACTTTGGGTGGTCGTGGTCGTTTTCATTGATCGATTTGAATTTTGTGGTTTTGTTTTGTTTTCCCACGCATTTGATTATAATATTCAACTACTCTCGTGCTTCAATTCCGTTGCTTCATATCTTCTTCACTACCTTCAGTACCCTAATGATTGGGTAGATGTAATTCTAACCTGCTTTTTGAAAACGCTTAATTTGAAGGAAGTAGAGAAGACTACATCAAGATTGGTGTTCCACTTTATGAAGCATCAATCATAGGCAATTGGAAAGCTGCAAAACCCATCCTTGACAAACAACCAGAATTGATACGTTTTGCTATAACTGAAAATTACGAAACACCCCTTCACATTGCAGCATCAGCAGAAAGCACCAAAGCCGTGGAAGAGTTTGTGGAAAATTTAGTGAATTTGATGGAAAAGAATGATTTGGAACTACAAAATAAAAGTTACAATACTGCCCTTGGTTTAGCAGCTGCAGCAGGAAACGTGAAAATAGCAATGATAATGGTGAAAAAGAACAGAGCAGTGATGGAAATCCCTGGTAGTAATAGAACAATGCCACTCTATGTGGCTGCTTTATTTGCAAAACCTGATATGGTGAGATATCTCTATCATAATTCTAATGAAATGTCGGGTGATTATTGGAGTCATGAGATTCAGGGTTGGCTTCTACAAAAATGTGTTGAATCTGATATCTTTGGTAAGTAGTTTTTACAAAATTCTTGTTATTGTGTTATACATTCATACTATCATGGTTACTCATTTTGGCTAAATGCAAGAATTAGCAATGTACTTTCATCTACTTGTGTATTATAGCATCCTGCTTTTATTTCAATCTATTACAAATTTACAACTTTGGACTATAATATCTTTCTTATTTTGGCATTATACTTTTAAAAATCTACCAAATTATAGCGTTGTACTTTCAAATTATTTTTTCTCTTATGAGGACATTATACTTAAAGAAGCTATCCGATTTTTTTTTTGTGGGTGACACTGCTATCCGATTATAGAAATGAAATTGTTTCGTATTTGGGTGACACTGCTATAATTGGATAGATTTTTCAAAATACAATTTTGGAACAGGATAAAGTGAAAGTAGAATGCTATGGTAAAGAAATCATTGAAAGTACGTTGTTATTTCTTGCATTTACCATTCTCTTTGTTTCTTACAATTTTAGGGTCATAGGTATAATGTTCCACAACTAGAAAAAGATTTTTTGGTAACATTGTGATTTTCCTTCGAAAGCTTCATGTTTTATCTTTACGATTGATGATTGATTATTCCTTTATTATGCATATACCAATAAAATTTCTCTCATTAAATGAAAAAAAATCTTTTGTAGATGTTGCCACAAAAATAGTGAATGATCGCCCCGAACTCTATGCCAAAAAGGGACTACTCACAAATGTACTCTTTCTTTTGGCTCAAAAGACACGTGCATTTAAACAGAGAAAACCACATATTTTGGTGAGAATCATCAAGTCAAGTAAGTATGCTCGCTAGTCATATGCCATTTGTTTTAATGACACTAACAATACCAAAAACAAGAATAATAACCCTTTCTTTGTTATTATATCAAATAATAGAATGACATACTTTTAATATCCCTCTAATGCTTTAATATCATTGATTTAAGAAGTTCATGCATGTTCTTTAACTGACAGAAGGATATTAGAGCATGTTTTTTTTCAAGGATAATTACTTTTCTCGTTCCTTTTCGGATTTATTTTATATATAATTCATATACAAAATATGGTTTCGAAAATGATAACATTATTATAATGATAATCTATATCTTTTAAATAAATGGATTTAAGAAGTATGCATCTAAATATGCTTTTAGTGACTTTCTATCTCTTTGACCAATTTGCATTTTTGCTCATTTTTTTTTTAATTCTTTTTCCTTTTAACCCGTTACAAATAAATTATAACCGAAACCGACTAATTCCTACAAAGGATATTCTTGGTTGTTGCTTTCAGTTTTTGCAGTCTTTCATGTGAAGGTAAGGTTTACAGAAAAGGAAAGTGAAGCCCTGCAATTATTAAGAATACTTTGGAAAAAAATTGCAATAATGCCCAAGAGCGAGATTGATGACATAATCCGTGGGCCACCTATGGAAGTTAAAAAGCAGGGAGGTATAATGAGAAGCTACCCTTCCCGGGTACTTTTTACTGCTGCAAAAATGGGCAACATAAGATTTATAATTGAGCTCATTCAGTCATATCCCGACCTAATTTGGAAGGTTGATGACAAAGGGCAAACTATATTTCACATTGCTATCAAACGTCGTCAAGCAAAGATCTATAATTTGCTATATGAGATTGGCTCAATGAAAGATTTAATTGCTCCTATTAAGGACAAAAATGGGAATAACATGTTGCATTTAGTTGCCAAGAGTGCTAAGCCGAAACGATTTCAGAACGTGTCAGGAGTCGCTCTACAAATGCAACGTGAGTTATTATGGTTCAAGGTATGAGTTTCTTTTTGACTTAATACGACATACTTGCACTTCTTTTTACCAATAATAGCAATATATATATATATATATATATATATATATATATATATAACTCATGATGACACCATATTTACATTTTCTTACACATAATTGCAATTCATTATCCATAATAGCAACACACTTACATTTCTTTACTAATAATAACAATATGTAACAAATTAAGTACATTGGTCATGTCGTTGATAAAATGCAAGTATGTTGCTATTGTGAGTAAAAAACTAGTATGTTGTTATTACGTGTAAAAAATAAAATACATTGCTATTATTGAAAAAAAAGTGTAAGTACACTGTTGTTAAGGGTAAACAATAGCAACATGCTTATATTTCTTTACCAATAAAACTATGTATTATATGTTTTCACTAATAGTAGCAACATACATATATTTTTTACCCATAATAGCAATTTACTCACATTTCACCGTACTGGATATTGGCAACGTACATTTTCTTTAAATGTTACTATCATGGGTAAAAAAAGAGAGGATGTACTTTGCTATTATGTTAAGTAATTGCAACTACATTGCTGTTATGCGTACATATTGTTAGTGTTTCCATCGGTAAATACATATTGCTATTATGGTTAAACAAAGTTAGATACATTGCTTATATTGGTTAAAAGAGTAAAGTAGGTAGGTATTTGATATTATTTCCTCTAATTTTTTCTAATAAAAGTGACTTGATATCATGATATATGTATGTGTTGTAGGAGGTCGAGCGGATGATCCCACCTAATTACAGACAAAGAAAGAACGTTCAGGGCGAGACACCACACGACTTATTCACCAAAAAGCACGAAACACTCGTTACCAAAGGCGAAGATTGGATGAAGAACACCGCTGCTCAGTGTATGGTGGTGGCAACCCTCATCGCCACCATCGTGTTTGCCGCTGCTTTTACCCTCCCCGGTGGTTACAACCAAAACAGCGGCATTCCCTTTTTCCGCCACAAACCAACACTCATTGTCTTTGTGATCGCAGATGCAGTTTCTTTAATATTCTCTTCCACCTCGGTGCTTATATTTTTATCCATCCTCACGTCTCGTTATGCTGAACGTGATTTCTTGGAATCGTTACCCAAAAAGCTGATGTTGGGTCTTGCGGCGCTTTTTCTTTCGATCGTGACTATGATGATTGCTTTTGGTGCGAGTTTTTTTCTGCTTTATAATAAGCATTTGAAATGGGTGCCCGTCGTTGTGGCGGGTTTGGCTTCTATTCCGGTGATTTTATTTGCGATATTGCAGTTTAGGCTTCTAGGGGATGTGTATCATTCCACGTATCAGTCTACGTATCTATTTAAGCCCAAGAAACGTATGCTTTACTATTGAAAACATTGTAATACTGTATTTGTTTGCTAAGAAATTAGTTATTTATTTAATCCCATTGTAGATGGGATAGAACCGATGAGACAGGTTAAAGACCAACTGGATTTATATTTATAATTTTAGTACTCTAAGTTATAATTCATGTAAATTTTATGATTTTTGTATTTTGGATGCTGTCATTTTTTTAGTGTTTGAAATTTCGTTTATTTCTACAAACATCAAATAATAATCTTGTAATACTTAATATCACAAGAAATCAATAACATTTATAAACTTTATAATGTATCCAATTAGTAATGTTTGTTTTACAAGAAAGGACCAAAAGGGACCGAAACATGACAATAATTATTTTGGTGCTAGGCCAATTTGGACATTCGACCCTTTTGATCTAATAATAACTTATAGTAGTATCGAATTTGAACAGACCAATTTTTTTGCTAGTGATTCATGTGCCTCTCTTGATTGTTTTGTTGGTAAGTGTAGTTTGTGACAAAACCTTTAATTGAAGCTTAATGTATCGAAAGCGGTTGACATGCTTATTTGTATAGTAAGTTTATATAAGCATTATATGGCAATAATTATTGAGATCAATAAGAAAAAATCAAATCATGATAACTTATGTATGAAATTATTATATTACATAAATTGATAAAAAAAAATGTAATTAGTTGATTATATATTAATGATCATTTAAAGTATAAACAATTCAAATAGAGTTTTGCCATAATAGTTAAAAAACCTAAAGGTAAATAAAAGGTCAAATAGCGGTACGTAAAATGTTTCAAAGTTGAAGGACCAATATATGAAATTAGAACACTCTAGAGTCCAGAGTGTAGTCATCCAAATTCATCATAATCAGTTCGATCGCTCCTACTTTTTCATTATAACATAATAACATATTCATCAATTATTTTGCTTATGTATTTGTAACCATAGGGTTTCGATTTTGATTTGAATTCGATCACCGGTTAATCATGTCTCTGAGGCCAAACGCCAGGACTGAGGTTCGCCGGAACCGGTACAAGGTGGCCGTAGATGCGGAGGAAGGAAGGCGGAGGAGGGAGGACAATATGGTTGAGATCCGTAAAAACAAGAGAGAGGAGAACTTGCTTAAGAAGCGTCAAGTTCAGCCGTCGTCACAGCCGCTGTCTACTGGTGCTCCTATACAAACCGCCACAATCGAGAAAAAGGTCTCATTTCCCTTCCGTACAATTGAACTTCCAACTAACATGGTTTGATCTAGTTCGATGATGATTGGATTGATGTGTCTTGTTTAGTCAGAAGGATCAGTCGAAACTGTTAATTTTCTAGGTTTACATTGAGTACATAAAATTATTCAACACCTGCATCTCAAAATACGAATATGATTATACTGTAAATGAGTTGACAATATGAATTATTGTTTATTAAGTAGGCTTGAAGTATTGAACTTTTATCACGTATACACAGATGCATATGATCATCTTATTATACCATCAATGCTTGTGATTCTTCCTTGCTTATCTAATTTCATGGAATTCATGTTCACAAAAGCGTGGAATGACCTTCTTGGTTTTATGCCCTAGGGTTTTACCTTTTTATTTTTGCTTCTTGGGTGTTAGGGTTTGTAACTATTTGCTTATCTTTTGGATGAAAGGCTTGTTTTTGTTCAACTGTTAAAATGATGTTGATCAACTTGCAGTTAGAAAGTCTTCCTTCAATGGTTGCTGGAGTCTATTCAAATGATGGCAATATGCAGCTAGAGGCAACTACCCAGTTTCGTAAATTGCTCTCTATAGGTATAAACAATGTTTTACATATCATTTTTCAATGTATTAATTATTATTCCTTTATGCATTCAAATCATCATATCTTTTTATCACAGAAAGGAGTCCACCAATTGAAGAAGTTATACAATCTGGAGTTGTGCCTAGGTTTGTAGAGTTCCTAATGAGGGAGGATTTTCCACAGCTTCAGGTATGAGTCCTATACAATTTGCATCTTTTCTGGTTGTTTAGTTGACTTTTATCTTGACTTTGACATTGAACAGTTTGAAGCTGCTTGGGCACTCACAAATATAGCTTCTGGCACTTCTGAGAATACCAAGGTGGTAATTGATCATGGAGCAGTTCCAATTTTTGTAAAGCTTCTTGCTTCTCCAAGTGATGATGTTCGTGAACAGGTAACATGTGGACTTGAAAATTGAAATCATCATTTAGTATATGTTTGATTGGATGGAATGGAATGGAATGAACCATTCCATTCCTTAGATATGGTGGAATCAATTTCTCACTTATAAGTTATAACCACCTTTTTTTTTGTTGTTGTTGTTGTAGGCTGTTTGGGCATTGGGGAATATTGCTGGAGATTCACCAAAATGTCGTGATCTTGTCTTAGGTCAAGGTGCTTTAATGCCTTTATTGGCTCAATTGAATGAACATGCTAAACTTTCAATGCTGAGAAATGCCACCTGGACATTATCAAACTTTTGTCGTGGAAAACCACAACCGCCATTTGAGCTGGTTATTTCTTACTCTCTGATCTTTATATTATTAAGGATGAAGGGTAAAATAGTAATTTAACTTTCATATTTGCAGACGAAACCAGCACTTCCTGCATTGGAAAGACTTGTTCATTCAAATGATGAAGAGGTGTTGACAGATGCATGTTGGGCTCTCTCTTATTTGTCTGATGGCACAAATGACAAAATTCAAGCTGTAATTGAGGCTGGTGTCTGTCAACGTCTTGTTGAGCTCCTCCTGTGAGTCCAACTAACTTTAATCTTCTTCTTAGACTTTATCAAAATTACATTTTTACCCCTACCCCTCTTCCAGTTACCTTTCATTTTATGCATTTTTTATATTTTGGTCAAATAAGTTGGTGGAATGCTGACGTGGCAATATCAACGAGTCATTATAAAATGTTTTGCATTGAAGAAGATCCTTTTGGTGTTTTTTGCTTGAAATTTCTTGACTGAAATGCTTGAAAGTTTAACTAATTTTATTTCCATCTTCTTCTTCAGACATCCTTCTCCTTCAGTAATCATTCCTGCACTTCGAACTGTTGGGAATATTGTTACAGGCGATGATCACCAAACTCAGGTACAGATTTTACATACTTTCCCCATTAAGTCCTAACTTTTTACAAATTTACCCTCAATTTTTTTGTCCTTCCACTTCCCCCCAAATCTGCTGTCATTTTCACAAATATCTTTTAAACATCGTTTGTTGAATATGTATAACATCTTTTTAGCATTAGACAGTAGTGAGAAAAACCTCAGCTACTTGAAACGATTTTTATTTATTTGTTTAAGAAACAATTAGAAGATAACAAATTTTTTTTTTTTTTGTGTGTGTGTGTGTGTAGTGTATTATTGAACATGGTGCACTTCCGTATCTGTTGAGCTTGTTGACACATAACCATAAAAAGAGCATCAAGAAAGAAGCCTGTTGGACTATCTCAAACATCACTGCTGGAAACAAAGAACAAATACAGGTAAACTTCTAAGCATAATTTGTGTTAGTTGCATAAATTGGTTAAAAAGTAAAAAACAATGTTGCATAATCTGGTAAAAAGGTGAAACATTGTTGTATAAATAAGAGACATATAATCAATTCCCTATTCCAATGTTGCATATTTTGGTTCTAGAATGAAATGTATATTTTGTTTAAAAAACCGTAAATTGGGAAAAGGTGAAAGTTTTTTTCATTAAATTTATATATTGATTCCATATTTTTATAAATTACAGGCTGTTATTGAAGCAGGGTTAATTGGTCCTTTGGTGAATCTGCTTCAGACAGGTGAATTTGACATAAAGAAAGAAGCTGCTTGGGCAATATCAAACGCCACTTCTGGTGGAAACAATGAACAGATCAAGTACACTCTCAATTCACATTATTATTATTATTATTATTTATTATCCTAAAGTTTTAAATAATAATTTAATAAATATTATATAGGTATTTGGTGAGTCAGGGATGTATCAAACCCTTATGCGATCTCCTTGCATGTCCGGATCCACGGATCGTGACTGTTTGTTTAGAAGGACTTGAAAACATTCTGAAAGTAGGTGAAGTGGAGAAGAATTTGGGTCAAAGTGGTGATGTTAATTTCTATGCCCAATTGATAGATGAAGCAGAAGGTCTAGAAAAGATTGAAAATTTACAAAGTCACGACAACAATGAAATTTATGAAAAAGCAGTTAAGATTCTCGAGACGTATTGGTTGGAAGAAGAAGATGAACATGAAGGAGGAGATGTTGCTCTTGCTCATGCTCAACCCGGGTTTAATTTTGGTGGAAATAATATTCAACTTCCTTCTGGTGGATTCAATTTCAACAATTGAAGGTAATTATTCATATTCTTGCATTTTTTTTTATCTATTATTGTTACAACTTGCGATCTTAAAAAAAGTAACAGTTGTAGGTTTTTGGAGGAAGTATAGTATGTTGGTGTGGTCAAAGGTCAACGGTCAATGGTCAAGAGTCAAGTCCAAGTCCGGTCAGGTCGGGTTTTGTCGGTTGAGTGCATCTTGGGCAGTCTGGTTACCCGTTACAATATAAGCCCAGTCAGATGTGAAGTTGCTGGTGAGTTGAGAATTGGTTGTGATGTTTTTTTGTATATGAGCTTTATATCTCTTTGATATCGTGTGAGGAAAGAGATGAGCTATTTACCTTTATTTCTATATTGTCGTTGATGTAACAATATTTTTGATACTTTATATTATAAGATTAAGGTATACTGGAATGAACAGGACAAGACTGAACTGAACTGATATGTTCTGGATATGGGATTCTCTGTTCTACCTTGTTTTACCTTTAATGGTAGAGATGGCAATGAGTAGAGATTGAGATTTCTTCTAACTTATTAAAGTTATAAAATTATTAATTATTTATATTTAATAAATATAAATATGAATTTTAAAATGGTTGGTGGAATGGTTAGTTATCGGAAGTCTGAAATTCTAACCCAATTTATTTAATAAAATGGGTTAAATAGGTTGGACAAATTAACTAAGGTAGTTGTTGGGTTGGAATGGATTGTTTTAGCAAAACACGAGTTATAATGGGCTGGATTGACATGAAAATGATATTGAGAAAAAAAAAAAGAAAAACAAAAAAAAAAAAAAAAAACAAATCCAACGTAATTGGCCGAAAAATATATTAAGAAATGGCCAAATGGCCACATGGGCTGGCTTTGGGCCCATTGACTATCCATCAAGAATTTTGTACCCAAAAGGAAATCAAGGAAGGAGCTTGATGTTTTTAATCAAATTCATACATGTAAAAATTAAAAGTAAATTTCACCATTTGCAAACTTCACTCACCTTCATTAAAATTTGATTAATCCTTTTTTCTGTCGTTAAGGTTCTTTTTTCATCATCAATCGAATCGTTGTTTGCAAGCCATGATTCTATTTTATCATCAATTCAGTCCCCGTTCACGTTTTATCTTGAACATCAACCGGTCCTACCAAAACCACCACCAACCTTCTTACATACATTTCCCTGTTGCAGATTTTTGTTGTGTTGCTATATTTCATCTAGCAATCTCCTCTTCATCTGCAACAATAGCCATCATAAGTACCTACAAAACACAATAATAAATTGGTGCCTAATAAGAAGACTAGAGTATGACTAAGTTAGCAGAAAGAAAACAGGACAACCATAATTACAAAAAGTGAAAAACATAAAGAGTGAAAATATGTTCAATGCCATTATAAAATAGTGAAAAACATAAATAGTGTAAGTGTTAGTTAAATAGTGTAAGTGTTAGTAGATTGATCTATAGAGTACAAAACACACATGTGTTTATAAGAAATTAACATGAGCATCATGCATAGATTGTTTATAAGAAATTAACATAATCCACGTTAATAATTACTAAAATACAATCCAAAACAATTATACCAATCTAGTAATATACAACTATAGTCTTTTTAAAAGTTTATTAAGCTTCTCAAATTTATGCTTGATGCCTTGACCTTTCTAAAGAGTTCATCCAAGTTTAACTCTCCAGATTGCATTCTAGTTTCAATATCTCCACCACCATAGATGCATCTTTGTGGGCTATTTGATTTCTACAAACCAACATAACATAAAGGGTAAAAAAGTGATACAAATCGAACTCAAACAACCTCTATAAAAAAAAACCCGTTACGAAGAAAAAACTTACAAAGATCGTTCATGTCGGATTGGAGATAAATTCGGATAAATTGGTCGTGTTTAGCAGTTTCGTTATCATGGAACTGAAATTGAGATTGGGTTTATTGTGTAATAAAAGAATAAAAGGGAAAAACATGCATCAAAGAAGACATACAAATCAATAAGGAGAGAGTGTTGTGTGTGTGTGTGTGTGTGTCGGGGGGGGGGGGGGGGTTGAAACTACAAGAGCAAGAATTGTGATTGCATGGTTTTGCTTAATTTTTAGTTGTACCATTTATAAGAAATTAACATGATTTGTAGTGTACAAAATACACAACAATGTAAGTGTTAGTTGACTAATATGGTATACAACCCTAATTTAGAATGAACGATTGGTGAGGGAAGATCGAATTGAGATAGTCTCGCATGAGTTCCACATCTGATGGATGTAACCTAAACTCAGGAGCGAGTGCAGAAGCTGGTGGGGTGGAATCAATCAAATCTAATAAATAGTAATATAATCAAAAGAAATTTGGAGGGACGAACTTACATATCCTACAATCGAGTGGATCCCAACCTAATTTGAGAGAAAATTATGGAAGGGGGCTACATTGGTAGGGTGGAGGTGTTGGGGATCATGTATAAGAAAAAAAGAAAGGGAGGGGGAAGGGTCCGAGGTTGGGTGGGAGACGACATATATAGAAAGATGGGATTAGGTCTAATTTTAAAATATTTATTTTTTTGATTGAGGGAAAAAGTGTTGTAATTCTAGTAAAGAGAGAAGATTTAATTTTTTTAGAAGACTGGAAAAAAATTGAACTACCTCGAAATTTTGTTTTCATTTTTCAACATTAACTGTCACCATAAAACACTTATAGTCATATGTTTTACTTATCTTTTATTGGTGCGATTTTATACATTTAGATAAACATATTAGTGAAATGATTTGTTTTATTAAATGTCATAGTAAAATACTTACATTCACATGTTGTTATTCTTTTGTATTCAAAATCATTAATTTTAGATATACATATGAAATCAAATTGTTATAATAAAACACTTATAGTCACATGTTTTTTTAAATGTCATAATAAAATACTTATCATAATGATATACCGCGACTATTGGCTAGTATTTGTTAGATTTTTTTAATGTAAGATAGTGACAAAATGTATGAAAATAGTTTGCAACGGTGACGGTTTTTAGCTAATACATGACTAAAACATTCATGAAATTTGATTAATGATCTTAAGTGATGCAATTAACCAAATTAGTGACAACCTTGTTTTAAAAAATAGTGACCGTAGGTTATTTTTATACTAGTGATAAACAATAAGTAGAGTTACATAAAAATGGATTAATAATAGTTTTGCATACTGAAAAAGGTTGTGAGTATTATGATCTAGTTTATTTTGAATCTACTAGATAGTATACTAAACCACATATCCTTACACACCATAGCAAAATGGTGTGGCTGAAAGAATGAATAAGACTTTGAAAGAAATAGTTAATTTCATGTTATTCTGGTCTGAGTGAAGGATTTTTTTGGTGAGGCTATGTTGACCATTTTCTATATATTGAATAAAACTCCAAACAAATGGACTAAGAATATCCCTTATGAGCTTTGGTATAAAAAGGTACCAAGATTGAGTTATCTCAAAGTTTGGGTTGTAGAGCAATTGTAAGGCTCACAAAACCCAAAAGGAAAACCTTGGATGAGAAAGGTATAGACTGTATCTTCATTGGGTATGCTGAGCATTCCAAAGCATATAGATTCTATGTTACAGATCTAATGACTCTGTGTCTGTGAACACTGTTATAGAGTCAAGAGATGCTACTTTTGATGAAGAGGGATTTACATCTATACCTATACCAAGGTACATGATTCAACAATCTTGTAGCAAGACTAAAATTCAACCTGAAGATGTTTCTGGTGGTATAAGTTATGTACATGAACCTATGAAGAGCACTAGAGCTAAAAAAGCTAAGTCTTTTGGATCTAATTTTCAACTTTATATAGTTGAAGGAACAAGGAATGAGACTGTGTCTCGACATCAATATTGCTTATAGAGATGTATATTTTTGGAAAGAGGTAATTCATGATGAAATTGATTCTATCATACATAACAATACTTGGGTATTATCTGATTTACATACTGGTTACAAAGCATTAGGATGTAAATGGATCCTAAAATAAAGTTGAAAGTGGATGGCAACATAGATAAGTACAAAGCCAGATTGGTTATCCAAGGCTTTAGGCAAATAGAAGGTATTGACTTCTTTGATACTTATGCTCTTGTTTCTAGGATTTCCATTATTAGATTATACTTAGCTCTTGCAGCTATACATAATCGTGTGATTCACCAAATGGATGTGAAAACTGCATTCTTGAATGGTGAATTGGATGAGGAGATTTACATAAAACAACCTGAAGAGTTTGTGATGCCTGGAAATGAAAACAAAGTGTGCAAGTTGAATAAATCATCATATGGTTTGAAACAAGCACCAAAACAATAGAATCAAAAGTTTGATGATGTGGTCTTGTCTAATGGGTTTGCATTAAACCATGCTGACAAGTGTGTATATAGCAAATTTGATCATTCTAGTTAAGGGTTATAGTTTGTGTATATGTAGATGATATGTTATTTTTTGGTACCGAGTAAGATGAAGTTGATTAAACCAAGAAAGTCTTATCATCTAGTTTTTACATGAAAGACATGGGGAAGGCTAAGGTAATTCTTAGTATAAGAATTAAACAAGGAAACAATGGATTTCAATTTCTTAATCTCATTACATTGAGAAGATATTGAAGAAGTTTAACCTTGAAAATTGTACTACTGTTAGCACTGCTATAGATCATAATCTTAATCTTCTACCTAATAATGGATCTCCAATGTCTCAACTTGAATACTCAAGAGCTATTGGTCGTCTTATGTATATAGTGATTAGCATTAGGCCGTATACAACATATGTTGTAGGAAAGCTTAGTAAGTATACTAGCAATCCTAGTTCACATCATTGGCAAGCTATAAATAGAGTATTCAATTGGATTATCTTCTATTTTAGAAGTTTATTTAGATGACAACTGGATTACCAACTTATAGGATCATTCCTCTATAAGTGGTTGGGTATTCCTTCTTGGAGGTGGTTCCATTTCTTGGGCATCCAAGAAACAGACTTGTATTACAAACTCAACCATGAAGTCTGAATTTATTGTAATGGCTGCTTCCGGTAGAAAAGCTGAGTGGCTAAGGGATTTGATTTATGAAATTCCATTATGCCCCAAACTGATATCTACCATTTCTATTAGGTGTGATAGTGTTGTAACTTTGGCTAAGGATTATAGTTAAGTGTATAATGGGAAGTATAGAAAATTAGGCGTTAGACATAACACGATTTGTGATCTCATCATGAATGATG